TATCTGGGTCCCAAATTATCTGATCTAACCAGGATCCTTTTAGCATGTCTCTATTCTGTGAAGTGAGTTTGCTAAATTCCCTCACAGCATCACTCTGATGAAGCTTCTCACCGACACTCTCCATTGTACCATCTGTATGGTCATCCACTTCAAATCGAGATTCTAGCCTTAAAAGTTGGGGATGGCATCTGCTTTCAGAGACAGGAAGACATAAAAGTTCTGATGAATTTCTTGAGCCAAAAGGCTCCAATAGACTACATGAGCTATGCAGCACAATAGCATGATCCTTCTCATCAGGTTCTTTTGGGGGCTCTAACAGAATATTTTGTGACCCACTATCAGGTTCTGTTTCACTATTAATTGAAACTTCATCAGGTCCCGAAATTTCACAACTCTCATCAGAATTGTCACTTGCTACAGGAGAATTGCCCCATACAATTCCTTCTTCCCAGTCTAGTTGATCAAGAGGATAAAATTTTGAACACAAAGGTGACTGCCTTCCCACAGAAATATCAAAATTAGATCCTCTTTCAATGGTTCTGCATTGAGACAGGAGTCCTTTATTGGCCCGTCATCCAGCAGAGCGACTGAATTAGTCGCTTTTAGAACACCAAACTTTGCATTTTCCAAGTCAGTGTCATTGAGTGCTGAGATGTCATATTTCATTGCATCTGCCTGTTTCAAAGATTGCAATCCGTGACTAGATCCTTTTAAGAATTCCTCTTCATCCTCTTCAATGATATCCGAAACATCCATGGATTTGTACCTATCTGAAAGGATGCTGGTTTAATTCTGTAAACAGTACTAAAAATAAAACAAGATGAAGCAACAAGATACAAACCAAAACTAGACGACCTGTCTAACAGGAAGATAACCTAAAATGCAACTAAAATTTGAGCCATAAGAAAAAAAAATGTAAACATAATTTTTAACATAACATATGCTTTGAGACAGTAGTTTGCTGCCATTAAGACATGTAATTTCTGTCCTAGCAACTTTATCCTTGGAGGCATCAAGGAGGATTCCATATATATGCAACATACCTTTAGGAACAGAGTATCTATGTTCTCTTTTCTCCGCCTTCTTCAAGGGCACATGAATACCAAAGATTTCCGAGAATCTTAAGATCACCAATCCATCTTCTATGCATAGAACTGGCAGCGGCGTGGCACTTTTATCTGAAAGTGCTTCCTGTAATAGCCAAGAGAGATGTAAACATCAATGAAGACTAATAGAATAGTGAGAAGCACTTTCAAGATGCAATTCAGTTAAAGAACGAGTAGCAATATGTGTTCCCTCGACTAGATGACAAAGAAATCACTTGCATTCACAAATTAGCTGTCTCCTTACATCAGGTATAGCATCTCAAAGAAATTAGAGAACAAATATAGATATATGACAAAATACAAATGTAGTCTAGTACGCATTGCTTAGGAAACAATACAATTGTATCCACAATCATGTCCCCAACTTGTCAGAGCAAATGTTTTTCTTGGTAGGAAACAGAATACACATACGTGACAATGAAAACAATTCTTTCTTTACAAGTAACATGTCAGAATAAATAATATCCGAGAGCAAGAATTAATATGCAACTTTTTATACATATTATCACAATCAGACCTGAAACTCTTCTACATGAGCATCCAAATTTTCAGAGTCCAAACCGCCAATTTGATAATCATCCTCAGAATATTTTTCTCCTTTAGAATCCCCTGCAAGACAACCTATCAAATTATACAACTACATTTAAGATGTATCTTTTCCATCCCCAACTATAAGCAAAATCAATATATGTGATCTAGGTAAACACTGATCAATGAACGGTGTAAAAGTTAGCAACTAACAGAAAACTTTAACTGAGAGAACACCTGGTAAAGAGATAGTTTCAACATCAACATTTCTTTCAACCACCTCATGTTCCACTTCCTGTTCAATTTCTTCATCGTAATCTTCATCATCAAACACAGAATGTGTGAGCTCCAAAGTAGCCAATGAAACTTGAGCAGAAAGATAATCCTTTCTGGGCAACAAATGGTCCTCCTCAGTAGCAGCTTGAATCTCAGGTCCCTCAAAATCCTCATCAATATCAAAATAATTCACTGCATTTTCAGCCTTCTCATCATAATCTGTCATAAGAGAACACAATGAGTGCATACTCACAAAATAAGAATGTGAACGACGAATTTATTTTTTACTTCCGCCTCATTTATTAGAGAATGAGAGCGTGAGACTGACAGACAGACAGGCTAAGGTCAAATAAAACACAGAGAATATTAGAATCAACATAGCTTCACCCAGTGGTGAAGTCAAATTGTACAATGTACGGCCTTAAAGAACAGGTATCACAAAAATTTATCTGAGGTTAAACATCTCAGCAACACACTAGAAACAAATTTATCGCATATGCTGCGACACTTTTATGCCCCTTAGCACAGAATCCATCTTCCACGAGAGGCAAACGGCCACTCAGGGAGCAAATTAGAAGATCAAGGGTATAACCTAGAATGCCAGGAATTAAATATTTTATATGCATAAAGTGCTAAAATGACAAATTAAATAAGACTGAAGTAATGGTTTTAATCGTGAAATCACATCCAAGGTTTTCTGGGTGGCACAAAATTGGAAGAAGGAAAATCAGAATTATCACCTAAAAACTAAATAAAATATACAAAAAGCATCATAGTGTATTCACAAATGAATTGAGAGGGTGTAAATATAGTGCATTAGCAAAATAAATTGAGGGAGAGTAATCATAGTGCAGTCACAAATAAATCTAGAAAGAGTGGTCATAGTGCTTTCACTAGATTCCTTTGTTCTTAAAATGATATTGCTTGATAGCCAATAGAAGAAATTGTAATATACAAATATAACAAATAGATATGAACTGGGACAGGGGGAGGCGGGAGGGGAAGAGTCACTAGCAAAACATCAAAAAATTGCATGAGATCGATTTTCCAGGCTCACAATATTCACCTTCTTCAACAGCATCAGTTGATGTTTGTGGTGATTTTACTGACAGCTAAAAATCAAAAAAAAAATTACATACCAGGGAAGAGAGTTAAAAAGAAGGGTAGGAGAAAGCACAAGTAAAGGAATAAGAGAGTTCCATAAAATAATAAAATAAAATAAAATAAAAAAGCAAGTGCCAAAAAAAGTAAAAAAGCAATTATAACTCCCTTAAATATAATAAGAAATTCATGACAACGGGCCCCAAGATAATATTCAAGACTACCAAATAGAGCAATAGACCTAAAGAAATGGATGAGAAATCCATACATCTATGCCTCTTATAGAAGGACCCAGCTTGTCAGCAAGTGCAGCGAGGTGTTCCTTTGCATCCTGTGGTTTCAGCATCAAGATTACATCACTAAACTAGAACTCAATTTAAAAGTGTAAATGTGAAAAATGAGAACACTCATGAATATCTAAATGGATGATTATTGCTGACAAACCCAAAATTTTAAATATATATATATATATATGGAAGAATAAATAATAATAATAATAAGAGAGAGAAGAAGCAAGATCATTATTAAAACATTATTGCGAGCTCAAAATGCAAGAAATAGAGTCGAGTTTAAACACTTCAAAACATGAGGGCGAGTGCTCTTCAACAAGTAGACAATGATGCAAATTGTTGAATGTCCCAGAATTAATAATTTGCAGTAGACCAAGAAATCTTAAAATATATTTCAATTTCATGGCAACAGCTACTTGCATGTCAGCTTTAGAAGACATGCCAGAAATTTAGTTTCTTGTTCATGCTTTTCTTGTAGAACAAGCAGTATCTGAAGTAGTGCTCTTCAACAGGTATACAATGATGCAAATTGTTGAATGTGAAATCTTAAAATATATTTCAGTTTCATGGCAACGGCTACTTGCATGTCAGCTTTAGAAGACATGCCAGAAATTTAGTTTCTTGTTCATCCTTTTCTTGTAAAACAAGCAGTATCTGAAGTGCTGTGATATATTATTTGGTAGCACGTTCAATTATACAACTGTTACAATATTTGTGTCAGTCAAAACTTCTTTGTTTTTCTTGGACTGTCAGTCAAGACTTATAGACATTCAAATAGGTATATGTATATTAGGGAATTTGGGAAGACGAAGAGGTCTAAAAGAATGAATTAGTTTCTTTCAAGATACTCGGATTCTCTCTTACATGACCCCAAGAAAATGAAAGAAACTAATTCATTCTTTTAAAACATAGCATTAGATTTCCATTAAAAATGTGTCTTGTTCAGTTGGGGTGGCCCAATGGCTGCTGTGTACTCCCTCTAGAGAAAATTCAATCCCATTCAAGCAGAACAAGATAGTGAGAGCGGAATGCTATGCAGAAATTTCTGCTCCAGCAGCTCAAACTGCTTCATAGTTTAAGTTATGATTTTGAGCCCTTTTTTGTCCTTTTTCTTCCCAGGTTAGCCTCAGTCTTATGGGGTATTTATAGTTACGGTTAGAGCCTTTTAGGGTCTGTTTAGTTTAGGGTTTAGGTTTGTGGTGAGAAAGGGTGTGTTTAGGTTTCTCTATTGAGTGCTTCCGTGGGAAAAGAGAGATTATCCTGTGTGAGGGAGACCCAAAACGTTCTTTGTTGTTATCTTCTTTTATGCTCCTTTTGGATGATTTATTTGGATCATTATGGCCCGTGGATGTGGCCCAACTTGGGGTGAACCACGTAAATTGGTGTTCATTTTGTCTATGATCTATTTTGTTCTTGGGCACGGCCCACAGGAGCTTAGATTTGGAATTCCCTAACAATTCCAAATAGGTGGACTCATCGCACATGCATTTCTATGGCCATCCATAACTTGTCAAAGCTATTTCAAGCTTCAATAATTGTAAGCAAGTACTTCTTGTTACTTATTTGTTTGTTTCACCACAGTTAAACCCAAAATTAAAGGAGAGGAGAAAAAAAGAAGATTAGAAGGAAACACCACACCACGCAATTCAATGTACCAGCAATATACATAGCACACAAAGTTGTATAACTCGAAAGGAAGTAATACTTTACTGAATGAATCAATAAAAGGCACTAACGACCGTTTACATACAGCTAAAAAGAACAGAAACACAACTAAGAAAAACTTAGAACTTGGAATGAGAAAAAAAAAAAAAAAATTCCCTAGGATCAACAGCCAGTACCAGTAAGTCGTTACCCCCCTGCTCTAGTCCAAGGCAATTTTTTATCCCTTTCAACTCTGAGTTCAACCTTTTTTAACATAACAAAGAGCGAGCAAAAAAATGCATTTTGAGTTAAACATCCAACTTACCTTCATCCCTTCCATCTTGGGAACCACCATCTGAATCATGGCCCATGTTGTAACAGCTCTGCAATAACCCTAAAGAAAATTCAAAATCTTGAAATTAGATTATAAATTTATAGCAGCCATTGCCCAACCTATTCCACTATCACCAACCACCACACCCACCACCCAATTGAACCACCACGTCAAACCCAATTGAACCACCACTGTCAAACCAAATAGAACCTCCACATCAAACACAATCGGACCCAACTGAAAGGGATGAAGATCAGCGACTTTGAAGGGGAAAATAGAGAGAGAGCCAAGAATAGAGAACTAGTGAGAGGAGCGGGAACCAGAGAAGTTGGGAGGGAGATAGAGAAACGGAGAGAACAAAAAAAAAATGATGAGAGAAGGAGAGAGGTATCAGGAGGGAGAGAAAAACAGAGGAGATGTGATTTGGGTGGGTTTTGGACACACGGGGAAAAGAAGGTGGGGGACATACTGGGAGGAGGGTTGTTTTTTGTAATTTTTTTTACTTTGGCTTTCTTTTTTTTTTGCCAATATTTTCTTTTCTTTTGCTACAGTGAGGTGTTGAGGTTGTTTCTTTTTAATTTTTTTAAATAATTCTAGTTTATTATTATTTTACATTGGAATTTTTTTAATTTAGATGAGACTATAGTGATTTTATTTGGGATTCGAATTCTCTACTATGATTTTCTCTATTATGATCTATTTGACTTTCGTCCTACACATATCACCTCATAAAAATTTAATCTAAGGAATTTAAACTGAACACATCATACGTCTTTTTCTCTTCTTCATTTTGTATCCCACTCGTCTCATTCATCCATTCTCCTCTCAAACACCATCGTTGCCAGTTTCGTCAAATACAAGCAAAGGCAAAGAGAGGAGAAATTGAGTCTAGGAGTGTTCTTTTGTATAGAACATAGTACCCTTTTTTTTGTATGAATGGGCAGTAGTACTTGGAGTCACGTTTGATTTGGTCTATGAGGTTTCAGGTTTTTAATTTTACTCACCAAACCAATTCTATTCTACAAGTTTTGGCACGATTAGTTTTAATTACAAAATAATAGAATTAAGTAATACAACTAGTTAACAATGTTGCTGAATTGGAGAAAATGTTTAAGACGTTGATAAAATTACAAAGATATGCGAATTTTCTTCCAACGAACATATGGGAATTTGCTTCCAACCTGTTTACCCGTTTTGATGTAGTTCTCGTGGTGATAGGGTAAAGTTCTCCATTGGCTTGAAAACCATTAGTGGTCAACAAGTCAACTTTCTTTTGTGCGCGAGCTTGCCACTGTTAGCGGTTAAAACCCCAATAGACTTATGAAAAATAAATAACTTGTGCCCCAAGCTATTGACTTTGATAAAGTGATTGTGAATTTGGGTGAGGAATAACTCCCAAATAAGTTATTTTCTTGCTGAGGACTTTAAAACTTCCCACAATAAAACTAGTAATTCTAGCTAGAATAGGTGTTGAAAAATAAAATAAACTAGTTCAAAGTTAAACTATCTATTACATAATCAAACAAAAGAGAAATTGCCAAGTCCGGAAGGACATCAGAACATTGTACTTCAATTTCTGCTTGGATTGTTGCTTGTGATTCAGGCTAGACTGGATATATCTGTGCTGGAATTGTACGTCAGCACCTTCAACTGATGGGGTTTAGCTGGAAATCGATACTAATGTTGAGACTGGCAGAGCTTCAATCAATTTTAGCCATGGAGAGGCTCGTCGAATAGACAGAACTGAGATCTCTTCAGTCTGGACTGGGCTTGAGGTGGTTGGACTAACAATTGCTGATTTGGAACTGCACTTCAGTACTTGTTCTGCTTGAGTGTGGATCACCTGAGAGCTATTCTAGTGATTTTGAGACCTTAAGGCATCTTTGTAAATTTGTTGAGGTTTTCATATTATGAAAAACCTAAATTCCGCTTGATTCGCTTGTTATGAACCAAATTTGTAAAGAGAGAAATCTGGTTTCCTTTGTGAGCTGCTTCTTTGAACTGAACCATGGTTAGAAGTCTGAGTTCTACCTATTTTGTCAGAGATTGGATGATTCTTGAGAACCAAAGAGCTTGGTTGTTTCTGAGTCTAAAAGCTTTGGGATCGTATGATCTTGCTTGACTTTGTCAGTGTGACTGAGAGTTTTTGTTTTGATTGGATTTTTTGCTGTCCTCTATCCTATTCACATCCTCCTATATTTATATGGGATCTGCATGAGTGATTATTCCTTAATATCTGGAGGACACATTGTTGAGAGGATCTTCTGCTCCAGCACAGAAGGGGCGGTGGTTAATCTGACAAGAAAAGCCCCCATCAAGGGTCAGTTTTCAAGATTGATCAGTTTTGACTTTCTAACAACCAACTCTCTTATTTCTTGTTTATCTCCTGTAAACTCGGCTTTGTACTGACGAGAAATCCTTACGAGTATGGGAAGAAAACTTGGCCATCATTTCTGGCATTAAATGGTTATGGGGAGTGGTTTTTGATTTTGCCTTTCTACCAACTCTCCTACACGTCATCTGCCCCATTTATGTGGATGTCTTGTCATTGGGGCCACATGGGCACTGTTGGGAGAAAAATCCTCCCCATTATCTGCTGATTTGATTTATGAATGTGTGATCAACGGTGATGATCAAACTTTGAGCCCTTTGGAAAAGAATTGGAAGCTGAGTAACAATTAAGCTAATGGTAATTAACCTTTAACTTGTGGGAATTTATTTTGTGATTGGTTTTTATTCCAATCTCTCCTTTTCGAAATGGTCTGGGCTTCTTTAAAATATCATGGGCTGACTGCCAATTTTGGTAAAACAAAGCCCAAACTCCTGTCATCGATATGGGCCAATAGCCAGATGTGCTGGTGCGCAGAAATTAAGCCCAAACACAACTAAAAAAGCATTACATTAAATCTCCCTACGAAATCCCAACAATTGGACAACAACCCAACAATCTTGGAACCCAACAATCTTGGAGCCTTCAACTTTTCATAGTTGACAGAAACCTCACTTTCAATTCATTCAAAGCATTTGTGAGTCACTTGCGTAGTAATAGAGAGTTTGAATCTTCGTATGAGAGAGTATTCAACACAATCGTGGTTCGCTAGGGCCTTATGATTTGGAGTGCTATAATCATAAGGACGTGGTCATTGTATTTTGGGAGACAAGTGCCGATCAACCATGAGCACCATAGTGGGGTGTAAATTATCTTAAGGACAAAGTGTCGAGCACTTGCCGCAACCAATTTTCAGTGTTTCTAATCCATTTTTCTTGTACATTTATCTTCTTTTTTTATCACAGATCCTACGCATTGAAAAAATGTCTCTAATTCATTTTTCAAGCACTTGCTGATCCATTTTTGTTAAAATATAGCAATAAACCCTTACTTTTCCTACAGGCCAGTATGCTAACTTGGTCTTAGCAAGGGGCTTGTGACTTAAGTGGTTAAAAACAACTTTACATCATAAGTCCTACGTTCAATTTCCCCTTCCCAACATCGCTTTGTATTAAAAAATAAAAATAAAACTTGGTCTTAAGGTACATCTTCAAAATCAAATGGTTATGTTTAATCCTAATTAGTTTTTGAAATGAAAATTTTAAAACTATTTTTTCAATGCTTAGGATCTGTGATAACATGGAACATGTACTCTATGTATGCTTAAGAAGAGAATTATATAAAACACATGGGATGGGAGATACAACTTATGAACGCACTTACTATAGACTTATCACAACACTAATTTTCACACCTTGAAACCCAGTCATGTGAGCAGCATATGTCAGAAGAACCGCGAGCCTATCACCAAAATCACTCGAGCGTCATACTCTTTTAAGTATTGCCAAAACAAGTTCAACCCCTTTAAATAGTTAAATCGAGTTGGATTGGAGTTTTATTAACTCATTTAGTTTACATGCCCAGTTAAGCAATTATAAACCACAATCGAGAAATACTTGCTTGGCCTAACAATTGTCTGATTAGATATTGGATCTTAGCGCACTTTCCTCTGCAACACATCCAGTAAATTTACATGTACACGGAAAATAAAGTGGTCGGAAAAATAAGTCAAAAGCAAAGTATTACCATAGCATAAAGATTTACCCAACAAGTATTTGCATAATAACTTTGTATGACCAAAACTTGTGTCTGCCTGAAGCTGTCGGGACTTCACGAACCACCTCGATGAAGTGGACAACTACACAGGTGGCCTTGATGGTTCCCTCACGTGCACTTGCTTGCATAAAGCTGTTGTACATTACAGAGTAGAGGAAGTTCTGGACTTGTGAATCTTCTCGTCTTCAGATGTTGGAGGCAACGAGGACGATGAGACCACTGCACGATAAGAGGAAGAAGCAAGTTGGGCCAAGGCTGGAACAGCCCCACCTGTAGATTTTCCAAAAGGCATTAAATAACAGCTCTATTAGAGGTTTGCAGAATTGTAAAACAAGATCCAAGTTTTACACGCATTGAGTGTTGCCCTCACCGTAGTGCCAGACAGTGAATACAAAAATGATGACAAACGGATCTAAAAGCTGAAAGCACCATCTCAAAGTTCACACCAACGACAAGCACTAATTTCGAAACTACGCTGTGATGACCGTTATAAAGCTCCAGAAATTTTAGTGTGTTTCGTAAGTTCATGGATTTTGATTTGGCATATTTCATTGAGCAAAACATGTCAGAGTCTGTCAATCAATGGTATCTGCACATGTTGGTGTGATTTCAGCTACAACTCATACTTTAGGCTGTTTAAGTAACTTAGATGACTTAGACTTGATTGAGCTTGTTCGCTTGGTTATCATGTTCAATGAAAGCTAGTAACATTTGTCTATTGCTATCACTACAATGTCATACTCAGTTCATTTAATCTATTTTATCTAATCATTCTCAGTCTTTTTTATCCCAAGATTTTCAGTTCAATCATTCACATTTATTCTTTCTTTTCATCTTATTATTATTTCTTAAATTATATGCTAATTAACTTAATTTATTATATAAAATTCGGATTTTTCATCTGTTATAATTTACAGCCAGACTAAGTTAACTTTAATTAGTTTATTTCTCCAACAAAATTACTATCACTAGACATTAGCAAAAGTTGGTAAAAGCTAATCAAATAGCCCACATTGATGATCTTACATAATATAACAAAACAATAACTGACCTGCCAAACCTGCACAAGCTGAAGAGAATACAATCACAGGCGGAGCCTACAGTTGCAAAAGGAAGACTTATGTCATTCACTATCTTTTTAAAAGTAAGCATAGAAAAATTTAGCACATACAAATAACGCAACAAAGCAAGTTCAGGAACAACCCAAAACCTCTAAAGTTTTAGGAACATAGATTGAAACGTGTACACATGCACAGACACAAACACATGCAGATGAGTAACCAAAATAAATTGCCCAATGCAACCCATGAAGAACCAACTGTTCAAATATAGACAAGGCATGGTGTAATT